TAGTGACCCGATGCGGGGAACATGCCATGGTGCTCGAAGAATGCACAAAGTTGAAACGTTCGGTAGACAACGTTGTGCCTATCCCCAGCGACTCGAAGCATCTCATCCAACTGTACCCTCATGTAGTTCTTATGGATCCTGCCCTTCTTTCGATGAAAACACTGTAGCTGATAGTCTGCGGCCAGATTTTGCACCCCTGCACACAGGCTGGTTGCTGGGACGCGCCTTAGTTACTGTAACTGGAACGGCGGGGCCCTGCCTCACCAAGCGGTTCGGCGACTTCCTGCACTTCCCAGTTTGGTGCCCCTTGCAGACTTGTCCTATAGTGCACAGCGACCTGCCTCGCTGTCTTCAGGAATCACAGTGGCACTCCATTGCAATTGACGGACATCTGCAGGCTCAATCAGTCGGATGTAGCCAGCGGGCAGCAGCACTAGAGAATATGGCTGCCTCGGGTGATGACTCGCCGCACCTCTCCGGGGCCTTCCTGACCGAATCGGACAATGAACCTAGTGCTCCGCTACCAACCGAGGGCATGCCGCGAGGACCACCCCCGCCGCAACCAATCCAGGTTCTTCAAGAAGCCTCTTGGCGGATCTCCACCGCGGTTGCTGCAGCAATCAATGTCAACGGCCCGGTTCTTATACTCATATCCCGTTTGGTTGGGAGACAGAGCTGACAGGCGGAGCCGTGGTCACTGTGAGGGCGCTCACCCCAGCAGATCAGCTGCACCCCAATGTCATATGGTGCGGGGACTCGGCGGATCCAAGCTTCGCAGAAACGGCCGAGGAGATTACGGCGGCCACTAATGGCATGAACCTCGATGCATTCCTGGCCGAGCTCGACAGGAAGGCAGAGGCAGGAGGGACACCCACCAGGGAGACATTGACCACTACGACGCCCACGTCCTCTTTGACGCCCTCCCTGCCGGCACCTTCGCCATCTGCCACGATGGGATCCTCGACCACGCCGATCGCATCACCACTGCCACCGAGCCCAGCACGAACACCGACTTCCATCACCTCAGCATCGGCGCACCCCAAGCCGAAGCCCAAATCCAAAGCGAAAAGCAACAACAAGTGTGGGACTCACTTCCGGTATTCATGCAGTAGTCAGGCGCAGCACACTCACGGGG